CTTGGTGATAATAATAATAAGACTTACTGAGGATGGCAACTATGACATCGGCAAAGAGTCAAAGAATGTACCAAGTCCATAGTTAGACGCTGGGAATTATCATAACTTCTATAGTAGAGGACTTAGGACAAGGAACTTCCAACTAGGTCGCCCTAACAACACGACCAAGTTGCGAAAACGAGTTCAGAACAGTTCCAGTCATCTTAGGTTGATCAACGTGATAAAATGGGATAAAGGGCTTCAGGTTAACAGTAAAAATCACTTGAAGTTACTCCTCAAAAGGCTCTTAACCTAGCACGACCTATTAATCTTGGTAGGCAAATTCACAGGAAAAGCGAAAGACTGAGCAAGTAAGGATGATGATGATGTAAAAAGCTTTGGAGGAAATGTCAATGGAGAATAAAGAGATAAAAATTCTCTCTTAAAATATATAACATGTTCTGCTGAAATAATAAAATAGTCCAATATCTATACGATCAAAGAAATAATCTGTTTGCTTAGATGCATTCATTCCAACTGCCAGGTAAGAGCAAGACTGAAACTGCAATGAAGATGTGAGGATAAAGAAATTATGGAATATACAAAACAATTAAATTCAGCAAAGTAAATCTACTCATCTAGCTTAGTTAAGGGGCCAAATAACAGTCAAGATAACGCAGAACGGTAGATAGTTTAACTTGACCTATTGACTCAAAGCTCAATAAGCAACAAGACAAAATGACGCTTTTGTTTTTAATAAGATAACAAAGTAAGGCTCTGAAAGCTTTTATCAGCCTAAAGAACAAGATAAGAAGCTAAATGGAAAAAAGCCATTCAAAGAGAAACTAAATAGAGAAAAGAACTCATAACAATAAATAAAAGGCCTTCTGGATAGCCAATTATGTTAGGTACCCGACTATATTTTAAATAAACATAAGGAAAATAAGTATCCCAATCCAGATATCAGGCAATAACCTACCTGACTATGATGCGAGTGAAGACAATCAGAGGAAGTCGTGTCGGCGACCGAAGCAAGTACGGCAAGCAAAGAAGTAGCAGCCGCCTTTCGCATCGCTTCGGCTGTCCGACCCGCACGCCACACGCAAGCGGGAAGAATAAGTCGGGTAAGGCAGTAAGCCAATCGGTTGGAAGAGTCCGAAAGTGATGCCTTTTGGGGGTTGAGAACCGAAGAAAAAGGAAAGAGAAGAAGATGAACACCTAAAAAAAGCCCACCAGCCTGAAGAGCAGTCAGACAATATGTTTCTTAAATAAAGGTATGAGTTTTGAGCCATATTTAATATATAATATGCATATCTTCAAAGAAAATTTAAGATAAATCTCTCGTTCTCTCCTACTGTCGGAACATTTTGCTATTATGATGAAAGTAAAATATTTTAATAGGGGATTTCTCAAATTGGAAAACTTTGTAGCGATATTAAGCGTAATTATAACAGCAAACCAACGATATCAAATTTTAATGCGATTAATCAAAACAATCAAATCCAAATGGTACAGTTATAGGTTAACAATAAACCTTACCTGTTGAATCCACTTCCTTTTCGAGTGAAAGTGTTTGGTAAAGAGATTATAAGGATGATTAAACCAAAAGGCGACGGCGGATTCCTATTGACCGGGTGTAGATTGGCTTTAATGGAATTCCTTTATTGATGCTGTTTCCGAGGTAACCTCCTTCGATTCCTGTGAAAACTTGCCAAGCTTTCATCCGTCGTATGACGGACATCATCAGAGCAGGGTCATATTGCTACAAAAATATCAAAACTAACGAAGCAAGAAAACTCAATTATACTTTACATTTCTTGTCTTGGTTCTAATCAGGGTCACTTTTATGTACTTTTTTGTCTGCTCTTTTTTCTCTCATATAAAAACAAAACTCATCAATATAACCAGACGTGTGTCCAACCTTGGGCAATCAGAATGATGGTTAAAATATGTATAGAGGGGATAATGGTGGCCATCAAACGTTTAAAGCAGAGAACAGATGCTACTTTTCCTGTTCTAATTACTTCAAAAAATTATTGCTGGTTTCGTACATATGTGAACACATGAAGGCACATACCCATAGAGAAAGACACACTCGGTTGCTTCGAGGTTGACATATTACTTGAACTAGCCAAATCACAGTATAGCTCATCAAAGAGCTCAGATATAGAGTATATATACCGTATTTTGGGGATGAGCAGGTCAGTTTTATTGACTAGTTGGCTTGAACATGAATATAAGGATAAAACCCTGTTCTGATGCTGTCCTTCATAAGAAGAACGAAATATTAGCACGTTTTAACCAGAATTAAAGAGATTGCCTCGGAGACAGTGACACTAAGAATGATCCAGTAAAACCAATCGACAGCCGTTCAGGAGGAAGTCGTCTTCTGGTGGGATCGACCTACGAATATCTTCACCAAACACTTTCACTTGAAATGAAACTAAGTTCAACAATTCTGTAAAAGTTTGCCCGAAATCCAAATTTTATTCGCGAATAAACCTCACGTCACTCACCCGAAATGAGGCTTCATTTGTCAATCTTGCCAACAGCAGCAAACCGCGCAGTCGCAATTCAGCCTCTCCAGCCAGAGTAATAGGATCACTTGGGTCTTTCGCTCCAGTGCCAGGCGGCTCGTAGAGGCGACACCCGACTTCCAGGAGATTTAGGGCCATTGA